ACATACAACTTTTCATGGAAATATTATAAATATTACACTCAAAATTTGTAAAGATGGAAATAATTTTAGTTTGAATTAATAGTAATTTTAATTTTTTGACAACAACTGTAATACAGTATTTGTCACTTATATGTTGCTATATATACAACTTTTCATGGCTGTTAATGGAGAAAGTTGCTGTTTTGCAGACGGAAGGTGTAGTTACAACATCTACCAGCAGGGGCTAACTAAACCAAACCATTTGCAATATCCCTTTAACTAAGAGGAAGACATTATTCTCCAGGAAGTGACATAATTTTAGAGGGAAAACAGCAGCTCAAGCATTAGTAAGTATTGCCAGTGGGTTTGATGGATTCTGTGATGTGTTAGTTGGTTTGTTACCGTAAAACGTTGCATCCTGTTTAATCAAATTACTTGAATCTGTTTTATATCAACATTTCCAAATACTGTAAAAAAAGATATAGCAAAATTACCTTAAAGTTGGTAAACTAACCATCAATCCTTCAGCTTTTTATTTCCATCGTGTTGTCTTGTAATTGGGCAAACAATAGCAATCGTTAGGCAATATTTTAATAAATAAGGTCAAAAGTATTTAAATCATGCACATCATGTATTTTTCTTGGTGTTATACCATTTCACATTTGATATGAAAAGTACAAATTATCTGATATTTTAGGGGGTTTACTGAGTCACTGATTGTTTCCCCCAAGAATTTAATGCTTTTCATGAAAATTATATTTTTGTTTCATTACATTCTCTGGATGCTTACATCACATTTAATTTGCTTTTAAACCTGACAAAAAAAAAAATTTTGATTTAAAAACATGTTCATCATAGGGAGGGGAATTCAAATTCATTGTGTTTTGTCTTTGACTTTTGACCTCATGTTGACCTAAAAATCTTAATATGGATTATTAACAGTAGGCCAAAACAACACAGCGACAGCAATATTGTAGACTTTGTAGAAATCAGCAAAAATATTTAGTTACTTCACAGTAAAATGACACTATTGGTGTGATCATTTTGCTGTAAGAGTTAGATATTAATACTTATGGCCACAACAATACAGATGTAATAATAATAACCAGAGCATATTATCTTACTTTTAGATATTTTTACCCTGAAATAAATTCATAGAGTGTTGTATTGTTACATGGATCATTTGCTTTAAAAGTACATAATAATTTGAGAGGCATATCAAAGCTATTGATGTTTTTGGAGTCAATTAACTGCTTAATTATGTCATTTAAATCCATTAACTTTCCTTTCCATTGAGCAAATGAAACTCATGCTGCAACCTTCAAAGACTGTTTCATGCAGCATCAAAAGTTTTACTTAGAGTAGACTATCACTCAATCATTCTCTCTTACAATAAGACTGTTGTTTACTTCTAGGTCATGCTTTCATTTTCTTACAAGAATGCACTTTGAAATCTTTTTACAGACAGCGATGTCGCCACCGTGATTTATGGCTTGATTTGAAGCAGGAAGGGGGGTCAATGTGACATCAGAAAGTACCCATAAGTCCATTTCCAGAAACAGTAAGCAGTCTAGAACCTGACAGAGATACGATGTCATTGAAAAAATGGACATTTTAATAAAATATATATTAAAAAGTGTAAATAATTTTGCAAACATTGAAAAATGCTGGGGAAAACGTTTCTGCATTATTCATTAGATAGAATATTTTGCATATTTAATTTTACTTTTGTTTAAAAACATTTTTCAGGTATTTCATTATTTTTTTCATTGCATTCTTAGGATGGTTAAACCACCTTTAACTTTTTGGCTTAAACCTTTTTTTTTTGTATACATTTTTATAAAATAAAATAAAATAAAAATGTAAGTAATTTAGCAATGCAATTTAGCAAACAATGTGTTTTCAAAAGGTTAATGTCATTTTTACTGAGGAAAATGTTTTTGCATTATGCATAATGTTGCTAAAATGCTTTCTGTTGGATATTACAACAGTGTCATTGTCTTTGCATTTGTCTTATATCATAAATACATTTCCATTTTTTTCTTAACTTTAGTTCAAATTTTTTATTTTCTTTTAAGAATTTCACTCTTTTGATGAGATGGTTAAACCTTTAACCTTTTGGCTTTAAATGTTATATATATATATATATATATATGTATGTATATGTATTGGTGCTGTCAAATGATTAATCGCAAATAATTTATTCCAAAATTAAAGTTTTTGTTTGCATAATATTAGCCTTTGTATACATTTGAAAAATAATAGGAATTATTTGCTTTTTTGGCACTAATATGCTAAAATACAAAAAAAACATGGGATAATTCAATATTTCAGTTTTTTATGTTGCCTGAAAAATGTTGGAGGCGGGGCTACTTGTTTGACTGACCAATTAGCAGAAGGATAATTGTTTGAGAAACCTGTTTGAACAGAGTCATTGCAGTTCCATTAATGGTGGCGAAATAAAGCACAGCAGGTTTAAAAAGAAAATAAGAAAACATGGGTCTTAGAAGCTTCATAAAACTAAACTGTGAATATTTCTTTCCCATTATCACCCTTTGGGGGCTGTTTTGTAGTCTGTTTGATATCCTACTTCTGTTCCTTTCCGCAGCATTGCTCTGGCATCTCGTGTGGAGCGTTGCCTAGCTAGTTAATTGAGAACCTCTGGAGACCCCGGCTAGTTTGAGAAGAACAAAGTAAAATGGGATTGTTCTCTCGGGAACAACGGAGGAGATTGGAAGAGCCCAGGGGAGAAGCATTGAAGAGCGGAGGCCAGGCAGTCCATGACAGGTAAACAACAACGGTCCCTCCTCTCTCAGGCTGATCCTGTCCAGGAACTAGTGGGCTGAAACTAAGGAAGGGGCAAGATGGGAGGTTTTAAATGTGGAGTTGAAGGGGAAATTCTGTGGAACCTGGTAAACAGACTGTGTATGTTTTCCAAATTCGTTTTCCCAAAGTGTTAACCTTTTTTAAAACACATAATCTGTGTTTTTTCCCTCTTAAATAATATGTGTAATATTTTGGTTAAAGTCTTTTTATTATAATTTTAGTTATACCTACAAAGAAATCCAGTCCCCACAGAACAGGTTTCAATTGCACATAAAGAAAGAAAGAAAGAAAGAAAGAAAATAATAATAATAATACAAAAATAAAAAGCTTAAAGAGAGTGTCCATTATATACATTTGGTTAAATAAATATATAAAATACATAGTAATAATAAATGATGATGATAGAAATAACAGTTTTCTGAATGCATTTTCCCAGTGTTTTTTTTAATTTTTATAAACCACATAAACTCATTTTTTTCTTTTAAATGATATACTATATATATATATACATATATATATAGTATTTATTTATATATCTTATATTTTGGTTAAAGTTTCTTAAATAAGTTTAAGTTTCCATTGCACATAATAAAATAATAATACCAAAAGTGTCCATTATATACATTAGGTAGGTGTGGCTGACTCTTAACTTTTATAAAGAATATCTCTTTGGATTTGAGACTTTAGTCTTTGCAACTTTACAGATCTTCTTTATGCACCAAGAGCTTGTAACACTCCAAAGAGAAAGGAAAAATTGAAATCGCATCATATGACCCGTTTAAGTCAAGACCAACTGTCAATCATTTAATATAGACAAGAGCTTTGTACATTCTCTTATTCTCTTAAAACGAATGGGAAAATATTTCCTGTACTGATCATTTTATGCAAAAGCCAATTTGAGCTTTGGACTCTCATAGGAAATCAATGCATGTTAACACTGTTTATTTAGCATTTTTCATGTCATTAGCCTTAATTTCAAGGTGTCTCCAGCGTCCTCTGACCTCCAAGAAGTGAAATGCTGAACCTTGACCCCAGTAACAGAGATTCCCTGTTGGATTTGTGTTCCACAACAGGATGAATCCTTGTTACTGAGAGCAAGAGGTCAGATTTTCTCCTGGACCTCTGAAGACTAGCGTTTGCTGTCGTTCTGAAAACAGCACAAGAAATACAGATTTGACTCATTCCATTGGTAAATACTTTAAGTATAAATAGGATAAAGGGGCATCATTAAAGCGTCTGTGTCGGTATGTGGCGGTTCTCCAGCGTCCCTTGTGACACAGTCGATGGCAGCTAACAAAGCAGGGTTAAACAGATTGAGTGAAGTGTCTGATTGTTTGACCTTAACTCCTGTTGTTCTCCCATCCCCCTGTGTTTTTGTGTTTGGAGAAGGAAACTTAAATCAGCAATTAACATAAATAATTAACTACTCCTTGGGATTAATTATTAATGTGTCGGAGGAGTGATTGTACCCGCTTGAGACTGAGATAGCACCTCTAGAACCAAGAAAAAAAGCCCATGACTTACTTTTGTTGGCACTTTCACCTTTTAGTTGGAGAACTCTTTCTGTTTTAGGGTTGTTTTTTGCCCATTGGAAAGAAATTTCACAAATGGGATCTTTTTAAATATCTCAATTGTGTGTTGTTGTAGTATTATTTATATACTATTATATTTTGAATTCATTTGAATTTTTCTAATTTCAGTTATCATTTTAATTTTAGTTCAAGTTTTAGTATTCTGTTATGGCTAAAAGTTATTTTTTGTTTAAGTTTAAGTAATTCATTTTAGTACTTCAGCTTAAACATATTTTATTTTAGTTAGTTGCCAAGGCAACATTTTTAATTTTCATTTAGGTTTTTTAGGTTTAAGTTTTTCATCTAAAGTTTTTAGTATTTTGCTTTATTTCAGCTTTATTTCAGTTATTAAGCATTATTTTTAATAGTTATTCGTTAACAATAACAATACTGATCCTAAACAGCAATGCAATTAAATGGAGACTTCTAAAGTGCATCTCATCTTTTGCCTAAAATGATATTTTCTGTAGAGTTTCAGAAGAAAACTCAACATTGTAATACTCAGATCTCAATATGAATTATTTTCTCATCAACTTCTTCCGAGAACAAATGATCTATAATCCACATGCATTTTTTTATTTTTTCATAGTCTCCATTTGCTCTCAATTTAATCTCATTGCTGTATAAAATAAACTATTGAGATCTCATGTATAATTGTCTGAGTTTTCTAATAATTTCTCCTTTACATTTTCTGCTCATTTTCTTCGCTGGTCTGTTCTAACTTGACACACACTGTTCTCTCGGTTCTTGTCGTTTTGTCTGTAATTCTGTCTTTACACCTTTATCTACTCTGATCCCTCTCTCACTGTTTGTGTACTCAGAGCGTCTGTATCATGTTGCTGAGATCTGGCTCGTTAATTGCTCGGTAATTACAGTGCTTCTGTTGATCTGTTCATTTCACAGCGCTGCTACAAACCTTTTAGGCTGTCTGCTGGAGCTCCGACTCTATTGGATTTGGCTCATGTGCCTGTCTAACGCTTTGAGAGCTGCTCTAATGTGCTGTCAGCCGTTCCACATGCACTTTCTCTGTCGTGATGCACTTGCCTGTCTGGACAACTGTTGCTGATGGGATCTGATGTCACGTACGCTCGAAGTGTTGACGGTAACAGATTGTGTTTTCTTCGACGTCCGTGCTAAACACATTCCATTGAAATCAACAGATTCACAGCATTTTCTGACGTAGTAATGTGCTAAGATTACACCCAAAGCACAGCAGTGTTATTTTAGTATCACTGAGTACCACTATAGTTTTTTTTTTTTTATATATATTTTTTAATGGTTTTATATTTTCTGTTTTCATTTTAAGTTTATCAAATTTTTTACATTTCTATATAGTTTATTAATGTAAGAAAACTCAATTATTAAGATTATTTGAATTTCTAATTTTCAATTTTTTCAATTTTTTTAATATATATTTTACTTGTTTTTTTTTCCAAGTAATGTTTTTGTTTAATTATATATATATATTTTTTATATATTTTTTAAAGTTCCTAAAGTTTTGTTTTCTTTTTCATTTTATTTAATTTATTATATTTAGTTTTTTAATAGTTAATTAATTAAATTATTTTAGTACATCAAGTTGAACTAAATAAAAATGTGAAAATAAATGTAAAAAAGTTTTATTGTAATTTTATTTTATTTTAGTTAATCTTATTTCAAGTACGATTTTTTTATTTTTTTGCTTTTAGTTTAGTATAGTTAACTGTAAAAACCCTGCTACACTATTAAATCGTAAGTTTTAAAATGTTAAACACTTCCACGTCTGTATTTATTTCTAAAAAACCTTCAGTTAACCTAATGGCAGATGATTTAGCGATTGTGACTCAATATATTATAAATGCATCTGTTATAGCTTAAATAATTTTGTATAAAAGGCTCTCTTATGAGTTACCCATATTAAAGCCCCATTAGAGGCCTTTCTTACCCTCAGATGTACAGCAGAGATCTTTCTTAGCTTCTGCTCTTCTTTAGGGCTCCGACCAAAGTAACTGAGAACCTGCTGGTATCATCCTCGTCTTCAATGGCAGCCACAGCCTCTGGACTCCAAACTCTGAACGCTGCTTATCTTTACAGCCGCTAATACTGGCGAAGAACCCGGTGATGGGACCAGCCCGTGTTAACCATTAACACCCCAACTTGCACCCTTTTTCATCCTGGTGAGATCCTAATGTAGTGTTTTACACCACAATGCATGTATCATGTCTTATTTGGCACACATTGTTATGAACAAAATGAAATTATATCATTCATATTTCCCTGCAATGTAAACAAAGCAGCAATTTCACATCTCGCTATGCATCAAAAGTCTCAGTGTCTTTAAAAACAACATAGCCTACATAGAAAGGCAGTTCTACAAGTTTATGATGTGATATTCAGTTCTTATCAATTTGCATGCCAAACCTTTACAGCATCCAGCAAGCATAGGCAATTATTAGCAAACGTGTTCATCAGATTCAAAGGCATGATGTCATTAAACCAAACGTTCACGCACAACCTCTGCCTCGGTTTTCTCTGTAATCTGCGAAAAGTTCAAAAGTCCGATTGATAATCAGTTATATTTGTAAAGATAAAAAATGGACCAGAACAAGCTGTCCTCAGCAAAGTGACTCAACAAACAAGCTCATTTAAAACCTCGCAATTAAACAAAGACTGTGCCATTTATTCTAATAGTATTTTGTTGCTCTTTATGTTTCTGCTGTGCTTGATATTGCAAAGCAGCATAAGATGAGCTCGATCTCACTCTGTTCCCAACCTCAATCAGGCTAATAAGCAACGGCCAATCCAGAACCTCTTGGCTGCTATAATAAGGCAATTAAAGAGAGCTGGCAGACAGACACTTCCCACGATGCTGGGACTCCCAAGACAGGCTCTGCCAATGCCAATCTCTAATAGGGCCCAAAGCACAGGCTTGGGAAGATGCAATTGGATTTGAAGCCAATCAGTCATTCCAGCTATTGACCTATGATTGGATTTAGAAGACATGTCAGGGCCGCTTTGATTTTAGCTCGGGCCCAATGAAGCTGGATGTGAAGGTTTATTGTTTCGGACGGACCGAGAGCGGTGTGTGGGCTTTGACACGCTGCCAGAAGAGATGGATGCGTACAGTGACTGCTGTATCCATCCATCAGAGTTAGAATCCGTCATCTCATCTTTCACAGGAGTGGCGTACAACATCATCCGCTGCTTTTGGGGTCTGTGCTCGTTTGTGAAGTCTTGTGCCTTGGAGTTTTTCACATCTCAGCATTTCTAAAGCAGGCTTTGATTGTTTGAAGCTTGGTGGCATTCTAGTTTTGGAGACAAATTTTTGCAAACATGCTCATCAACACCCGATTAAATGCTTGTGAGTGTGACTGCGATGTTTGTATTATGAACAGCCAATAGAAGGACAGTTCAATCATGACAACTCTCAGAAGATTTTAGCATGGTGATGGATATGACAATGTATTTGGTCTAGATCTATCTTCGCTGCTGCTGTTGGTTATTGCTGTAGTTGTAGATTATTGCTGCTGCTGCAAGCAAGTACAGGAACTTGCTACTGCCAGTGCATACGGCGATACGGTGCCGTGAGTATTTAAGACATATTGCTGCTGCACAAATAGCATATAAAATAACCCGTAGCAGATCTATACAGGTGGAGCTGGGGAAGGTGGAGGGTTTCAGAGAAACTCTGTAAGCGCCCTGCAGGAATCTCAAGTGAATGCTAGCCAGCCATGTAAATGCAAGGCAGTAAGCTCATTGGCTGCATATGCAGCATGAACCAATCAGCTTGTGCCAAGTCACTTAACTCTCTGAATATCATCATTTACGTTAACAACCCGTCAGCCTGCGCCATCTAGAGTTTCATGACTGAACTATATATTTTTTTCGATTTATGTGTGAGAGAGATCGAGATACGTTCATTTATTGTTATGTGGTACTAGCTTGTTATTTTGTGATACAAGTTTGTCTATACTCTACCAGGGTTTTTATCATTAAATAAATATAAAGCATAAAAAACATTTTCATTACTTGAAATGAAAATAAAATAAAATAACGTAAACTTATTTTATTTCAAGATTTATTTTAAGGCACTATGTCTCCTTTTGAATAACTAAATTAAATAAACTAAATTGTAAACTATAAGTACATGGGCATATTTAAAATAACAGTGTCACAGGGTTTTTATAGTCAACTAAAACCGGAAAAAACATTTTTTGTTAATTGAAATTAGCAAAGCATTAACTGAAATAAAATAAAATAAAAAAAATGCAAAATGCAACATTTCTCATTTTCATTTAGTTCAACTTGATGTACTGAAATAATTATAACTGAAATAAAATTAACAAACTGTATAAAAAACTAATATAAGTGACAAAAAGCCCCACAACAAAATGACTAATTACTAGTAAAAAAAAACAAAAACAAAAAAAACATGGAAAATATAAAACTAACAAAAAAAAAAGTAAATTAGAAATGTTGCCTTGGCAACTAATTGAAATAAATTAGTTGAAGTACTAAAATCCAGGGCAACATTTCTCATTTTCATTTATTTTAACTTAATGTTCTAAAATAACTAAAACTGAAATAAAAATTAATAAACTATATACACATAATAAAATGACAAAAACACAGAACAAAATGTCCAAAACTTTAACTAAAATTACAATGAAAGCAGAAAAGATGAAAAATAAATAAATAATCAAAATATAAACACAAACCTATATAGTATATTAATTATACTAAATTAACACTGGTCTATATGGTATGCAACATAAATAACCCTAACATTTCCAACATCAGCACCAGGACTTTGAACTCAGGTTTGTGTGGTTCAATTTTGTGTGTCAAAGAGGATGTCACAATTAACATAAAATGGCCTTTCAATGCTGTCAATCCTGACCGAAGTCTTAGCTAATATATATCATGCAATCTGACATAAAAATCTGATGATGTTGCACAATCTGCCTTAGGTTTTATGCAAGATTGCACCAGACTCATATCAAACAGTCTGATAAGCAACAATCATAAAGGACAGAGAATAAAAAATATACAGTGTACATCTGACTTTACAATGTAGTTGAAAGAGTAAGTTTGTAAGTAAATGTAAAAGTGTATATTTTAGTATTTTTTTATTTTAAGAAATTAATACTTTTTTTCAGCTGGGATGCATTAAATTAAACAAAAGTGACAGTAAAGACCTGTATAATATTAAAAAGATTTCTATTTCAAATAAATGCTGTTCTTTTGAACTTCCTATTCATTAAAGAATCCTGAAAAATAAAATGTATCACAGTTTCCACAAAACATATTCAACTGTTTTCAACATTGATAATAATCAGAAATGTTTCTTGAGCAGCAAATCAGCATATTAGAATGATTTATAATATTTCACAATTTTTACAGTTTTTACTGTATTTTTGGTAAGATAAACGCAGCCTTGGTGAAAAGAACTTTGAAAATCATAAAAAAATCTTACTTTGAAAGTGAAAAGGTAGTGTATATTTTAGTGACTATTTATCATCATTCATACGGCATGCGTTATATAAAAAACATAAATCTCAGTAGGACTAATTTGCTTGAGGAAAACAACAAATGGCTCCAAGCTTTTGCAGAGGTTTTAGAGTATCTTTCTCCAAAACTTTGTAAAAATGAATGTCATGTTTGGCGACAGACCTGGTCCGGTAAAAGAGTCTCGTGTTGTTTTTCTATTTCAGGTGGTGTATCATGACCTAGATGAGGAGAACGACGGAGAAGAAGCGCTATGGTAATGCAAAGAGACCTTCAGCGTCTGTCCCTGTCGTTTAAATTACAAGAGCGAGATTAATTTTCCATTTGCGGACCTCTGAAAGATGGCAACATCTTCCCAAAAACATTCCGCTGATAAATGAAAAGCAGCGGCACTCTAGAAATAATGACATGAATTACAGCACACTCTTACTGCGGTAATCGCAGAGTAGCTATTGGATATAAAGACTGATCAATATGCCCTCTGAAGGCCTGCAGAAGGACAAGCGAGGAAAGCCAGTCAGGCGACCGAAGACGAAACCTGAATCGAGTGGACTGGCAAGGTAAGGATTGGATTATTTTGATTTTTTTTTTTTGACATTACAACATCTGAAGGCTGCTGTGGCATCTTGGCTAAAGCTCACAGTCATTAAGCGGAAGGTTGTTGGTTCGAATCTTTCAAAAAATGAGCCATGAATAATCAGCATTACACCAAACATCACGTGGCTCCAGGAGCGTTGTCCCTGTAATTAGTGTACTGCGGATAAACAAAAACATCTGCTAAACGACTACCTATTCTTAGAAGAGTTTAATTCTGATTGCTTGGTTAGTTAAAACCATGTCATTATCTAATGCAATGGCTCAGTGTCGTTGCTGACATGCTAATGACCCTAATTTGATGGATTGCTCAGCACAGCTGGACACAACGTGTGTTTTGTGCTCGTCTTTTCAGTGCCACACCATATTTATTTGAGCCATTTGTACATAAATTAACTTTACTATTAGCTGTAGATATGTTTTGGACCTTTTGTCTTTAATTTATTGGTAATTGGACAGATTCAGGCCTATGAATGCAACAAGGGGTGACACCATATTTCTGCTGTATTGCACCCTAAAAAAATACTTTGCTTATAAAGCTTTTAGGACCATTTAGGTTTTGATGCACTACCATTAAAGGATTTGGTGTTCTTTAAAATTTATATTATTAATTTCATTGCAGTTTCTTCAGACAAAAACCTTCAAGATTTTTGTCACCTTTTCTATATAAAAAAAAAACAAACAAAAAAAACATACTTTTATTCAGCAAGGATGCATTAAATGTATCCAAAGTTTATAATGTCACTAAAGATTCCTATTTCAAATAAATGCTGTTTTAAAATAAATTTCCTATTCATCAGTAAATCCTGAAAAAATAAAATGCATCACGGTTTCCACAAAAATATTGAGCAGCACAACTGTTTTTTTTTCCGTAGCGTTTTAACAAAATTTTACAGTTAAAATTACACTTATTTTTTTACAGTGTACTGTTTTTTTTTTTTATCAAATAAATACAGCCTTGGTGAGAAATTAAGACTTCTTTTAAAAACATTAAAAAATATATATTACTGCACGAAGACAACGGTTGTTTTAAATTGTAATAATATTTCAAATTTTTGCTGATTTACTGCATTTTTTTAATCAAATTAATGTAGACTTCGTTAGCAGAAGAAACTTAAGATTTATTTTTATGTGAAATTTAAGTTTATTTTCCCCTAAACTCTCCCTAATATATATATAAAAAAATAATCCGTGAAAATTGTAAGAATTGCACTAAATTGTTACTTCAGATATGTATTGAATGTAAATGACATAAAATAAAACCCTCAAATGTAAAACATAAAAAAAATAAAATACAAATATAGAAATAGAAAATTCTCCCATTTTTTTTCTTGTTTTCTCACTGCGTTTTATCAGACGGTCTGCTTTTATTCCTACACCTCCTTTCAGTTGGCCCATTGTCTCGCAGGATACAATTGAATTGCCGTCTCTCCTGCTCCTGCGGCCCATCAGGTCTGCAGCTGTGCATTATCCCATTACAGCCAAATAGTTTTGACACCCACTGACTAACCGATCCCATAGATAATATCATAAAGAGTGTGCTCGATACAAATCGGGTCAGGATAACTCATTTAACCCCACCATACATATTTCTTATGTGTAACTTGAAACGCTGGAAAAATTAAATCAATAGAAATGTTTCTTGTTAATGAAGATGTACCGGGCTGCCGTTTTTGTGGCCTGTGTGGCTTTCAGGGCTCGCTGTTTGATCTTAAATAAATCTCCCACCCACCACTGCGGTCAGCCGGGCGGTCAACACAGACCCCTATAACCTCCCCCTTTTAGGTGTTGGTTTGTGTGTAAATGTATGTGCGGCAGGGTGTGTGAGTTCACGAATCCAGACTGTTAAACTAGTACTAAATCACATTTGTGATCTTTAGCTGATGCCGACGTCGGCGAAAACTGCTGACGGTCTAATGTGAAACGAGATTACTTTAAGCTTGATTACTAGTTTAGAGGCAGAACTGGAGTTATGTGAAATGTAAATGATTACGGTGTTAATTGCAAAGTTTTCTATTAAATTTTCTATGAAATATGAAAGTTACTTTTTATTTCTAAGTCAGATTGAATTGGATAAGCCGTTGTGCAATATATGATATACATGCACCTGTTAATTTTGTATTAATGCGCCAAATCCCGTACTTTATTTATATTATAACCACTTGATAATTTATGTATTGAATATTGTGTTTTGTTTTGTTTTTTATTTTGTTACGTAATATATCTGTTTTTGCTTTGCATTACAGTGATTTTACCAGTTTAAAAGATGTTGTGTTTGGTAAAATCACTTTAAAGCTTTCAGGTTATATAAGAGAAATACCTAGTAATGAACTTGTGAGTTTGGAGGCAGTAAGAGTTTTTTTTAAAGAAATTAATACTTTTATTCAGGAAGGGCACATTAAATTGATCAAAATTGAGAGTAAAGACATTTATAATGTTACAAAAGATTATATTTCAAATTTTCTGTTATTTTGAACTTTCTATTTATCTGTGAATCCTGAAAAATAAAATGTCATGGTTTCCACAAAAATATTCTTGAAATAATGTTTCTTGAGCAGCAAATCATCATATTAGAATGATTTCTGAAGGATCATGTGACACTGAAGACTGGAGTAATGGAGTAAAAAGTCAGCTTTGATCACAGAAATAAATTACATTTGAACAGATATTCACATAGAAAACTGTTCTTTTAGGTTGTAATAATATTTCAAAATATTACAGATTTTACTGCATTTTTTATTAAATAATTGCATCCTTGGTGAGTAGAAGAGACTTCAAAACCATTTTTAAAAATTCTTACTGACCAGAAACTGAACAAAGTATTGTCATTAACCTCTTTTAAAAGTAATTAATGAAGTCATTAAATTAAGTCATCAAATTAACAAGAAAATCTCTGGTTTGCTTGTTTGGCCCACCAGTGACCACAGTTCACTCCTCAAGGTGAAAAATACAGTTTAGGGCGGTAGATAAGAAGGCATAAAGGATATTATCTCTGGTGGACGGCCCTGTGAAAACACACACACACACACACACACACAGAGTGTAGTGATAAAGCGAGAGTGGTCAGCCCCCTCACCCCTCCTCTCTCACATACATCACTGCCTCCCGTTTGCATGACGGTACGCATTGATCGGCCGTCATACTGATCACATTACAAGCCGACCAGATTAGATTTACATTTTTAATTTTCTTTCCAAAAAAACGGCATTGACCGGGAGATGAGAGGGGAATTTTTGAGACGCATAAATGCTGGACAGAGGCCGTAGAGGTCAATGGTGGATTTAAGTGACGTGCATTAAGATAGCGTAAAACTCAAGCACAGATTCAAGGTGAGACTGGTGCTCAAGATCATGATCATGTTTACACAGCCATAAAATCCTCAATACAGCGCTTATACTTATCATAAATGAACCGTTATGGATTAAACAGTACACAATCCCTTCAAAT